CCTAAAAAATTAAAAATGGAACTCCCATTTGACCTAATAATCCCACTTCTAGGAATATATCCCAAGAAATCAGAAACACCAATCAGAAAGGATATATGCATCCCTATGTTCATAGTAGCACAATTTACAATAGCTAAGATTTGGAATCAGCCTAAGTGCCCATCAGCAGATGAATGGATTAAAAAACTTTGGCACATCTACACAATGGAATACTATGCTGCTGTAAAAAGGAGGGAACTCCTACCATTTGCAACAGCATGGATGGAGCTGGAGAGCATTATGCTAAGTGAAATAAGTCAGTCAGAGAAATATAAATATCCCATGCTCTCACTCATTTGTGGATAGTAATGAACAACATAAACCAATGAACAAAAAACAGATGTAGAGACAGAGAAGCATCGATTAGATGCTCAAACCTCAGAGGGAAGGTGGAGGAGGGTGTGGGTGAGGGGGAGAGATCAACCAAAGGACTTGTATGCATGCATATATGCGATGGATGTGGACAACAGCGGGTGAGGGTGAGGGCAGGATTGGGGAGAGGTGAGAGGACATTGGGGGAATAAGGACACATTTGTAATATCTTAATCAATAATGGGGAAAAAAAAGAAATCTGAATCACCAATCTACAAGAATATATGTACCCCTATATTCATAGCAGCACAATTTACAATAGCTAGGATCTGGAAACATCCCATGTTGAATGGATTAAAAAAACTGTGGTGCATTTACACAGTGGAATACTATGCAGCTATGCAAAAAAAAACAAAACACAAAAACAAACAAAGAAAAAAAGAAAACAACCACAAACAACTCTTACCATTTGCAACAGCATGAATGCTAAGTGAAATAAGCCAGTCAGAGAAAAGTAAGTATCACATGATCTCACTCATAAGTGGAATCTAATGAACAACATAAAGTGACTTGTCCAGAGACACAGAAGCATTGCACAGACTGTCAAACTTCAGAGGGAATGCAGAAGAGGGTGGATGGGTGGGAAGAGATCAACCAATAACCTTGTTGCAAATATGCATAACTCATGGACACAGAAAATAAGGTGGTGAAGATCTGGGGGATGCGGACTGGGAGAGGTCAACAAGGGGGAAAGGAGATATATGTAATACTCTCAACAATAAAGATTTTTTAAAAAGAAAAGAATTCAATGAGTAAAGAATACTCTTTTCTACAATGGTGCTAGAATAATTAAATGCTCACGTGCAAAAGAATGAAGTTGGGACCCTTACCTCACAACATTACATTCACAAAAATTAATTCAAAATGAAACAAAATCTAAATGTAAGAGCTAAAAGTATAAAACCTAGAAGAAAACAAAACAGAATTGTGAATGACTAAGGTATAGGGTCACTTTTGGGGTGATAAAATGTTCTGAAAGTATATTGTGATTATGACTGCACTACTCTGTGAGTATACTAAAACTTCTGAATTACATATTTTTAAAAGATTGAGTTTTACAGTATTTGATGTATATCTCAATAAAGCTGGTTTTTAAAACAAAACTATTTTATGAGTTGTCTTTTGTAGAAAATGGTTTCTTCTTATTAATCCTTTATTATGTTTTCCTGGGATTCCTTACCTGCAGCTGAATCAGCTTTGAAGAAACTCTTAGGCTTACTTATTCTACTGAGAGGCAGAAAAAGAGTAAGTGTGAAAGTAATATATGCATAAATAATACCAAATCTGTTTTGAATTTATTCAACTAACTTGTTGAAAAAATTCCAATGAATTGGAATTACTCTGGCTAAAAATACTCAATTTATATATAGACTCAAAAGTTAGCTTTCCCCTCATTCTAGGTCCTTCTCTTTATTCTGCCTCCCCCTGCTTGAGACTTCAAACTGCACAACACTCTTCAAAGCTGTAGACTATTAGGTGTCATTGTCTTTATTCTGCTCACCCTACACTGCAGAGAAGTTATTCTCCATCACTGTTCAGCAAAATCATATATGCTCACTGTTTAATCATCACTTGTACTTTTTCATTTCATTTTTCCAGCTTCCTTGCATTATTATAGTGTCACTGGATTTTAAGAGCTTGTTTATAACTAAAGATGTTAACCATTTCTCATGCATTGTAAATGATATACCATGTTTTTTTGTTACTATTTTACTCTGCTGATTTACTTTTTGGTTGTATCAAACTTGTGCATTAAATATAATCATATTCTGTTTTTAAAAAAATTAAAAAATAATAATAATACGAAATCTGTATTTGGTATTATTTATGCATATATAAATGGGGCTCTTCAAAATATTTCAGGTCTTCATAAATGCCTCCAACACAAGGGGTCCACAGTCTACCTAACTTCCTTATTAGTCCCTCTCCCCTCTCCTCTCTTCCTTCTCCTCTCCTCTCCTATCCTCCCTCTCCTCTCTCTCCTCTCCCTTTTTCTCTTTCCTTCTCCTTCTCTTTCTCCCTCTCCTCCCTGTCTCTCTCCACCCTCTTCTTTTCTTCCCCACTCCTTCTTCTTCCTATCTCTTTCTCAATCTCCCACACCCTTTAGAGCACTAGATCAGGAGCAAGTGCTGGAAGCACTGTCTTACATGGTACATTGTACTTCTGGAGACAGTAGACGAGTTCCATGGGTCGCACTGCTTTCTGTCGACTGTCCTGCATCTTCTCCAGCAGTAAGAGCAACTGGAAGGGGACATTTCTCCTCTGCTCTTCCACTCTCCTTGGTACTGTTACCCTGCCAAATTAGAACAGCCATGAACCTCTTATTACAACAGTTCTCAATGTTAGGTGCATACTAGAATCACTTGAAGAAACCTCTAGAAATCTCCAAGTCCAGGCCACTCTGTAGAATAACTAAATCAGAATTTCTGGAGGTGGGACTCAGTTATCAAATTTTTCAGTTTCCCATATAATTTAAATGTACAGACAAGATTCAAAAACACCATGATTTTTAACCTCCTGAGAGGGTATCAGCACAACAACTGCTGCCCCACCACCTCTCTCTCCACTCTGCCTGACAATCACACTAAAATAAAAGGCAGACACAGTAGGTCTTGTCTGGGTCTACAGTAAAGAGGGCATGCAGCACAATATCCATCCTGAAGCACCCCAAAGTGAAAAAGCAAATACTCATCTAGATCCTGGGAAGAAAGAGCAATGTGAAGGTATGTCAGTGCATTTTAAAAATGATTTACTTAATTATAGGTATCTCAAAATTGTCCATGCCAATGGAAGGGGGGAAAAAACAGAAAACACGGGGTAGAAAAGAATGTGTAATAATACATATGCGTGTTTGCTTTGTTTGAAAAAATCAAGAGAGAGACTTTTGCGTGTGCCTACTGATTTATTCTTCCTTTGACACTGGTCTACTCTCAATTTCTTTTTAATCAAATCAGCGGCTGTCAATCATGACTGCATGTTTAAATCACCCGAAGCATCTTTTAAAAAGTACCAGTGGCCCAGCCGGCATGGTTTAGTGGTTGAGTGTTGACCTATGAACCAAGAGTTTGTGGTTTAATTCCCAGTCAGGGCACATGCCCAGGTTGTGGGCTCAATCCCCAGTAGGCGGGCATGCCGGAGGCAGCTGATCAATGATTCTCTCTCATCATTAATGTTTCTATCTCCCTCTCCCTTCCTCTCTGAAGTCAATAAAAATATATTTTTTAAAAAGTACCAGTGACTGTGTCCCACCATAGGCCAAATGAAACCAAATGTCTGGGGGTAGTACCAGGCATTTATATTTTAAACTTCTCAAATGATTGGAATGTGTAGTCCAAAATGTGCAGAACAAGACTCTTCTCCAGTAACATTTGAAAGAATATTTTTAAAAGTCCAAGTCACTGTGGGCTTCCAGTCAAGATGGTGGCATAGGTAAATGCTATGCTCATCTCCTCCTGTGACCACATCAAAATTACAACTAAACTACAGAACAGCCATCACTGGTAACTGCCTCAAGTCTAGCTGAACAGAATCCTGTAACTAATGATATACCGAAAAAGTCATATCGAGATTGTTAGGAGGAGCAGAGTCACAGAATAGGCTGTTCCCAATTACACATGTGGTGGTTAAAATTCAGGAGAGTTATCTTGGCTGCACATGTCCCCTGAAGAGCAAAGGGTCCCAGTCCCACACAGGGTCACTAAGCCCAGGGTCCAGTGCTAGGAAAAGGAGTCTTCATAACCTCTAAGTGTGAAAACTAATGGAGGTTGTGGCTGACTGAGACAGAGAGCTGCTGGAGTCCCAGGAGTTCACAAATTTATCTCCTGATGGACTCACTGGCTCTGAGCTCTATTGCTGGGGCAGCAGCTCAAACAGCACCAGGGACATACAGAGAAGAACAGAATTATCTGGCTTTGGGGTGAGGGATGAAGGGGCAGCTTTTCCCAGCAAGAAGTGCTGGCAGAAGCCATTGTGTGTTTGCTGATTCCTCCCCTTGCAGGTGCAGGTAAGCACCAGATCTGAGTCTCCATCAACCTACGTAACACTTTTTGCCCTGCTCTGGTGATTCCCTGAGACCCTAACACACTGAACTTGGATCCCCATCCAAGCCTATTCCAGTGGCTTTTTAAAATAAATAGCTATCTAGGCTCATGCTGAGGACTTCCATAAAGAGTCTCAAAGGTTCATAAACCCCAAACAAGCAGCATGTGGCCTTTGGCATGGACCATCCTCTTGCTAAGCACCCCCAATCCAGCATTAGCAGAAGCAAGCCTCAGTTCATAACTTAGCCTCTCCCAGAAACCTCCAAGTCCAGCACAAGCATCAACCACCTGCAGATCACATTGTAGCTTATACTAGGTGGCCACAGGCAGGGCCCAGGGAGCGGCTGACCTTTGCCTAACCTCCCAAGAGGCCCCAGAACCAATATACCTTGTGACCAGATTCACTCCACACCAGAGCATTACCCACCACCTCTTACAAATGACACGCCTAAAAGGGTGAATCCAGCAGATACCAAAGCCCAGCTAAAGTAAATCCTGCTTCATCGGATCAGATTCTGCACAACAACTTGTCCACAGTAGTCATGGCCAGCCCTCACAACCAATCAGCATAAGGGTCAATCCCTCCCACTGTAGTGCCAATAGCAATCAAGGCTCAACAACAGGAAGGAATAACCCAAACCAACCACATACCTGTAGCACCAATTCAGGTGATGAGGGAGACTGTACTACTGGCCCACAAAAAATACCCATTACGTAAGTTCATTTTGCCAAGACCAGGAGACAGAAGTTGTACCTAATGCATAGAAACATACACAGAGAGGCAGCTGTTGGGGTCACTGAAGGAAGAATGCATGAGGCCAATGTGGTAAGAGATTATAAATTTATTAAGTCATCTGACTACCAGATGGGCTGAGCCTTAAAATGGTGCCAGCACCCAAAAACAGGGAGTCAGAGGTTTTTAAAGGACTCTAGGTGGGCTTTTCTGAGCAGAGTATTCTCTGTGTAGGACCAGATTCTGGGAAACTCCAAAGAGGAGAGATAACGGTCTTAGCCAGTGGAATGTGGTCCAAGAAAGTGTCCATTGTGACGTGGCCTAAAAGTCAGTTCCAGGGGAGGGGGTATAAACTCAATCATTTGATCATACCTAACATTCCAGCCTTTTTGTTTATGGAATAGTGATGAAGGTCATATCTTCTATATCTACTTCCTTCGGAGGTGGGACGTCGAGATCACAGGGGAATGAGCTTTGATAGTAGTGGGCTAAACAAGGGATCTCAGCAGCATTATTTCCCCCAAGAAACTGGTTGGTGAAGGCTCAAAAATGGTCCTGTTGAGTGACTTGGGAGTAAAAGCTGGTCCTGAGGTTGCCACAGCATTACTTGTCTGGTTTTGCTGTTTTTCTGGGCCTTGGGCTGAAATGCAACTGAGGCCTAGATGTTATCTTTAGGGAGGAAAAGATCAGGAGTCTACATTGCCTGACTAGTGATATTAAAGGGGAGGATAGGTTACCCTGGGGGAGGGGTTCTTGTTTTCCTAATTTTGCTAGGCATCTAGAGCTTTCTTGTAGGTCCTGAGACAGGATTTCAAAATAGGATAAAGCAGTGGTTAGGCCCTCTATGCCAGTTCCAAAATTTTCTGTGATGCCAAAGGTTATTAGGAGAGGGATTATCTGAACTGCCCTCTTGTGTTGGATATGGTGGGTTATTGAGACAGGTAAAGACTGATTATTGGGGGTTACATCTACATAGGGTTAGAGATAGATGAGAGTACAGGTTCCTGTCCAGTTGGTGGGGAGACAGATGTATGTGTTCTCCCCACAAAAGAAAAAGAATCCCTGATCATGGAGACAAGCTCAAAAGTATAGAGAGAAGAGGTGGACTAAAGGGTATGAGGTTCTTTTTCCCAGTCCCGCACTCCAAGCTGAAAGGGTAGTCACCATGGCACTACCAATAAGGAGTGACAGATGAGTGGTTGAGATTTTATTGCAGTGAACGTGGAAGGGAACAATAGAATGGGCTGTTATCCAAGGGAAAAGAGAAAGGGAAGGAAAGAAGCAGTTGGAGCCTCGGGCCTGAATGGGTGGATAAGAAGTAAAGCTGACTGGATGTAGGAAATAACCATTGGCTTCTGGGAAGACCTGGTAGTCAACCCATTGGGACCAGTGACCATTTGGTACTTCTACATTAACTGTGGTGTTGCAAGCTGATGATGGGAGATGGCTTATTATTATATTGCCTTGTGACCTTATAAAGCATAAAGGGGTTTGGGAAATTAGTGGGTTGTGTAGAGTAATAGGACCTGTGACTAGGATGGAGGAATAAGCTACCTTAGCAAAAGATTGAATATAAATACAGAAAGGAAGGGAGGCTTGATTTGTTGGGCTATAGGATGTCAGAACGGTGTCTGCCTTTTTGAGAAATGTAGTTCCCTTTTCCTTTTTATAAGCTAGAGTGATTTTTACCTGATGCCATCTTGTGATTGGTATAGGGATGGTGGTATATGCTGAAGAGCAGTGGGAAAGGCAGATCCAGCAATCCCTGGCAAAGGTTGGATTGGTCTGGTTTAGAAGGAAATGGGTAAGGTTAAGTATTTGAATGAGTGGAGGCGGGAAAATTCCTAATGGGTGTATGAGAGAAGGGCTAGAATAGGATGAGAAGGAGAGCTAACCCCCACTTCCAGGATCAGGGATTGTCCCAAGGTGGGGAAGGATATGTTTGGGGTCTAGAAAGAAGTAAGTCTCTTCCCATGGGTAATCAGAGTCCCCTTATAGAAGGGAGTCCCATAGGAAGGTGAGAATCCTGATGCAAGGGAGATGGGATAGTAGCAAGGACCTGGAGTATTTGTATTGGGAGAGAAGGTGGACTTTCAGAGAAGTCAGGATTGGTAGGGTTAATATATAGGGAGCATGTGCAGGGGTGCTCGCTCACTCATTCATCCTCTTCTTCTGGGATGCAGAGAAGGTGGAGTCTGGTTGGCCCAATCAGGTGGCTGTAATACTAGGGGAACTCCAGCTCATGTGATGGAGGTGTTCCTGAGATGGGTTTTAATCTGGAAAAGTGGAACCATGGATATGCCCCAATAGTTTAGCTGCTTTGGGGATAATTATAAGGGCCTTGCCATTAAACCTATAAATTATTTGATTAATAGATTTCCTTTAGAAGTACCCAGTCTCCTGGATGTGAGGAGTGGGGCAGGGGGGTGTCTCCCACAAAAGGTTGAGGGAGGACCTGATGAGCATGTTCTCTCAGTAATTGTGGATGAGATTTAAAATGGGGACATAGTCTCCTAGAGG